AAAAAATGAAAAATGCAGTATTTATTCTTATTTGCGAATCAAGTCTTAAAAAATCTGAAAAATGACAGTATATGAATATGTGGACCGTGTAGTACTATAATTTTGCATTAATCATAGTTCTTAAAAGATGATAGCATAGAGCAGGGCCAAGTGCGCATGAARTCAACGTGCCTTCGTTAGCTTGTAACGTAGTGTTCTGTTCCACGAGCTTGACCTCGAAAGCACATAACAATAATAATTCGTAATATTTGTAGTCAAACGACTAACATGAAAATGTGACAAGACATGCAAGAATTGAAGAATTTATTTTATGAAGAGTAAAAACCAAGTACTTGTAATTGAGTTCCAGTAAGCGTTCCTACTAAGTTTCACCATATTTTCTTTATGCCCCAGTTATATTACCAAAAGACGTCGTATAGTATCTTGACCTTTGCAAACCATTTCCAGACATTCRTACATAATGTCCCAAGTTTCGTAATATCTGGCGGGGAAAACGTTTTGATTCAAACGTAGATGTCCAAGATCGTTTGYTTATCAACCGACTGMATTATATTCYTTGAAATAAAGACCAARATAAAGCAACCAACAACAACGACAATCATAGAATATTCTAAGAAGACTTCGTACTTTGTTATGAGTCTTGATTGATATGATCTTTGGTGCATTTGTCTTGGCATTGTAACCCTTGGAAATGATCCTACTGGAAAAGTATATMACAGTTTTMGCGTGGTGTTCCAAAGCTCAGGAGGGGCTGCTTTTCTCGACTAGCGCTGTCCTGATACCAAAGAGAGAATGCTAAAAATAGCGAGATATTCTAAATTAGGGACGCTGATTAGTACCGTTTCCTGGACCGTTTGTCGTCACACCGCGTGTGGTCATGATTAACAAAACTGTTATACTTTCTAGTATCTGCCAAGACAGGATATCTGAATTTTTTTATCTAATCGTATGCCTACTTATTCTAACAATTGCAAGTTTAATACGAAACTATTTTACTTACTTACCGAATGTTCAAGAACTATACTTTGCCGCAGTCACTGTGATACATTGTCATGTAAAATGCCACGTAGAATTTCACGTTAAAATGTCACGTAAAATGYTACGTAAAATGTCACGTAAAGTGTCACGTACCATTGTTGTCACTCAAAAAAGACATTTTTACAATTTTATTTCTATTTTAGCGGTTCGAGTTTGTAATTTAAATTTATTCATCTGCTGACCTTGCGATTCGAGTCATTTAGAGAGTCCAATTATTCCTTGAGCACATCAG